CAAGGAGGCAGAGAGAGCCCTGGTCACAGATGGACAGGATTGTAATTTGTCACTTTGACCAATGGGCCACACGGAAACCAGATTGAAGAGGTTCAAAAAGGAAGTGATGGGAGAGGAGAGAGCAAAGCTGGGATGCAATGATTCGTTCCAGGATCTTGGAAAGAAAAGGAAGGTTAGAGATGGGTGATAATTAGAACAGAGATGGGGTTTTGAGGGTAGGGATGATCTACATGCTCCCTCTTGGTGACATCATCCTCAGACATGGGGTTAACTTCCACATGTTTGCGGATGATACCCTACTCCATCTTTCTGCCTCCACTCTTGATTCCAGGACCACTGCTGTCCTGACAGAATGTCTGTCAGACATCAAGTTCTGGATGAGAGCTAACTTCCTACAGTTGAACATCAACAAGACCGAGGCCCTCCTGATTGGCTCCCGTCAGTGCCTCCACACCTCAGGGATGCACACTCCACTTCACTGAGCCAGTCCAGAACCTTGGCATCTTGTTTGACCCTCAACTGTCCTTTCTACTCCCACCCGTGCCATGACCCACGTCTGGCTCCGCCACTGCCTCACCCCCTCAGATTTCCAAAACCCTCCTTCAAGGTGTGTGTCTCAAAACCTTTGGCCACCCTCCCTGCCCTTAACACTCCACAGTCCCCAATCTCGACCCCCATCTTGGGTCCAAATCCCTGACTATTCAGTGGCTTGAGACATGCTTCTGACTTGAAAGGCGCTGTACAAATGGAATTTTGTATTGTGTTGTTTAAGGGGTGTTTAAGGGGATGGGAACAGTGCCAGTGGACAGAGAGAGAGGTTGGCCATGTCTGTTATCAGTAGCTGGGAGAAGCAGTTGGTGGTCCTAGCTGGACAAGCAGCAGGAAGCTTGCCAATACAGTGCTCTCAATGGAAAACCGTGTGGTTTTCACTGGTTTGAGACATCTAGAAGACGTAAAAAGCTTTATATGAAATGCAAGGATTATTATTATTAATCTCAAGCAGTTACCGCAATCCACATTTGGGGTCCTCCCCAAACCTTAGCTCTTGGAAGCCTGCGCCTGTTACTCTCCAAATTGGGGAAGTGTGCTGTGTCCTTCTGGGGTGTTCACATACTGGGAAAGTTCCATGTGTAGGTGGCAGACATATGCGGAAATCCCAGGCTGATTTGGGTATGGTATGGTGGTGGGTTTCTGCATGTGTCAGACAGACAGCTGACCAGACCAAGTTCTATGCGCTGACTTCTTTTCTGGTTGCTAAACAGTGTCACCTGCAGGTCACATAAAATAGCTTCAAGACAAAAGAATAATCCTTGCATTGGATACAGCCCCTTTCTCATGTTGGGAGGATGTCTAAAGCGCTTCACAAGATATATTGTAAAGTGAGGCGACTGTGTATTTTGTGGGCGAAGCAGGAGCGCATTTGCACACATTAATGTCCCACAAAACCCCATAAAGTGAGCAAGAAATTCTTTGGGGTGATTGTTGGCCAGGATACCGAGAGAGAAACTCCCTTTTCTTTTAAAATAGTGCCTTGGGACTTCCTGCCAATGTGAAATGTTCTGTGTAAATGTAAACTTGTATTGTATTGATCCCAACTTCTGCCTCTACAACCTGTAGATCATCCAGAACTCTGCAGCCTGTGTCCTCTCCCGCACCAGACTCGACTGAACCTATCACCTCCATTCTCGCCCGGCTCCGGTGGCTCCCATCACTCTGAGGAGTTCAAGATCCTGGTCCTCCTCAACAACAACAGCAAAATTACATGTGTAAAGAGCCTTTCACGTCAGGAGGACATCCCAAGGCGCTGAACGTCAGTGTTTTGGACCCGAACTAGGGGGGGGGGAGGGTCGAGATCTGGGAGGGTGGAGGGCAGGGAGGGAAGCAGTGTGATCAAAAGCATGGTCAAAGAGGAGTGTCTTGAGATGGGTCTTGAAGGAGGCATGGGAGGGGGAGAGGAGGAGGGATTGCGGGATGGAGTTCCAGAGGGTGGGGGCAGAGTGGCAGAATGCTCACCCGCCAATGGTGGGGCAGGCGAAGCGGAGGACGTGAAGCAGGCTGGAGCCCGCTGGGCGGAGGGAGCGGGCAGGATGGTAGGGGATTAGGAGGTCGCAGAGGTAGGGGGAGCAAGATGATGGAGGTGAAGACCAGGATCTTGCACTGTCCTCTGTGTGATGGGAAGCCAGTGGAGTCGGGCGAGGATGGGGGTGAATAGGGTCGTGGAGCCTGGAGCGGGAGGTGCCTCTCCTCCCAGAATAGCATGGAGCATCAGCCCAGACCAGGGTTGAATTACTTGAGAGAGGAAGAGAGCAGACAGTGCTGAGAGATTAGGAGAAGCAACACATAACAATTAGAAGGCTGTGTGCACGTGAATAGCGAATGCAGAAAAGAGTGGATGACAGAAATATAAGGCACGAAGTAGAAGAGATATGCAGAAGGACTTGAGACGAGGGGCAGTGAGGTCTGCAAGGAAGGATGGCTTTCTCCAGTCGGAGTGTGGTGTTATAACGGGTAACATACATTTTGATTGTTATGCTGAATAAAACTGGATGCTGATGTGATAATATAACATCAACGTGAATGCAGAGACTGTTGCTGCTTGTGTGTGAATAAAGACCTTTTCTTTGAATCTTCGTGTCAACTCGTATTGAGTGAACTGGGGCTCCGGCAAAACCTAATAAATCCCATTTTATCTTAAGTAGTCCAGCGTTTTAATCCTTGCTATGCCTATTGTCTGTTGGCACATCTTCAACGTTAGCGTGTAACATTGTATACATCGAATCAATTGGTCTTATTTTTCTAAAATACACAGATATTACAGGGGGGAGAGCGAGGGGGAGAGTGATTAAGAGAGGGGTAGAAAGAGAGTGTGTGTGTGAGAGAGAGAGAGAGAGAGAGAGAGAGTGATTAAGAGAGATGTCCTCAGGTTACCGACCCACCCACCAGTGGATATAGTGTCTCCTTGTTCACACTATCGAATCCCCTCATCATTTTGAAAACTTGTATTAAGTCTCCTCTTAACCTTCTCTGTCCCAAGGAGAATAATCCCAGCGTCTCGAGCCTCTCCTGATCACTGAAGTCCCTCATTCCTGGTGCCATCCTGGTCAATCTCCTTTGCACTCTCTCCAATGCCTTGACATCCTTCCTAAAGTGCGGTGCCCAGAACTGAACACAGTCTGTAGCTGAGGCCTAACCAGTGTTTTATAAAGATTTATCATAACTACCTGACTTTTGTATTCTATGCCCCTGTTTATAAAGCCTATTATCCCGTGTGGTTTTTTGACAGCTTTATCTACCTGTCCTGCCACCTTCAAAGATTTACTTATATTTCACTGGATGAATGCAGAGGAATTTCCTGCAATTGGTCACATCTGTGCCATGAATAGGGTTTGAAGGATGGTGATATGGCCTCTTGCAGGGGAAGGCCGGGCCGTGGAGTCTGGTGGCCGTTTCTCTTGGTTTGGTACAAAATGTATATTTTCAATTTCACAATTGAGCAGCAGAATTAACACTTTCTTCCTACGGAAAGTCTCCTTGTTCCTCACATTTTTTGGGGGGTCAGAGAGGAGTCAGACACATGCAGAAACCCATCCCCATACTTAAGATTATCCAAACCAAACTGAGATTTCCATGCATCCCACTAACATATGGAAATCCCAGAGATAGATTGTGGAATGGAGTGCGCAATCTCTCCCTGGAGGGACACGACCTGTTTACCTAATTCCGGAGAGTATTAGTCCCAGGTTGGCAAAGGGCCAAGGCTTGGGGACTCCAGAGTGTGTGTTGGGGTAACTGCTGGAGTTTGCCATTGATATTGCCGTCTGGTAAACTTTCCCATTGCTTGTCCAGTGAGCACCGCCCTACCCTTTCGGGCTTTGGTTTGCAGCATTTACAGGAGCTGAGTGGGATGATTCCCTGCCCCTAGTGACTGGTCTGCCCTTCCAGGTTCTGCTGATGAGCCAGGCTGGCTGTATCAGCAGTGACCTGGAATAGTGCAGACCCTCCTGGCTCTGGAACGGGACGACCGAGACTGCCACAGAGGACTGGCTCGATTCCCATATTCCATTGGCGGGCATGTCATTCTTGGAGCCAGTTCAATTCCAGGAGACCCTGCTTGCTATTCCTCACACGGTTTTCTGATCCCAATAAAAAAAACAAGTCAGCTCAACAATCCGGTGTCACTGCAATTCAGAGATCCCTTGTATCCGCACTATTTGGGCCAACCTCACTGTGGCTATGGAAACAGTGCGGAAAGCTGTTTGCTCCCTTAAATGCAGTCATTGACTTGGTGAGTGGGTAACTGGAGAGCGGGGCTGTACGGTTGTAGGTTCTACATTTTGATTTGTGAACCCCGCGGTGAAGTTCAGACAAAGACCAGACCGAATGTGGTTACAATCAATCTATTTTATTAGTTAGCGAGACGTAGCAATGTCTAACGGTTAAAGGGTTTATGCTTACGACTGGAGTACAGTTCATCGCAGGTGAATCAGTTGATTGAACTGGATCGCCGTAGAAGAGATGGAGGGGACCAACTGGATTTGAGTACGTCGTTCGATTGAGTGCGTTGTGGAAGATCTTCTTGAGATCGGTTGCCGTTAGCTGCTCCGTTCCCGAGCTCGGCTTCTGATTTTCCTCTGAACCTGTTACTCTTCTGCGTCCCACCGAACAGACTGTTGTTTCCACCATTCCTTGTTGCTTTCAATCATCTGTTCAAGCCACGTATTTCAAAGACTCAATAATTAGCAAACGAGTCCAAACAGATTGTTTCCACCATTCCTTTTGATCATTGGTAACCTTTGGAATTCAGAACCATAAGTGTCCTTGTGATTTATACAGTGAACAAATCCTCAATGCTTTGCATCTTTGGTTCATTCCATGTGACCTCTGAGATAACTTATACTGTCATCGCCAACCGAGCACCAGGAGAGCGAGAGGACGTCGAGGAGATGATGGACTTCCTCGAGTCTAAAATCAAGGGGTTCCGCTCGGCTGCCTCTGCTTTTTCTACTGTTACCCCATATCCACCTCCCCTTACACTCTGGCCCTTACCCATCCCTCCCACCACACCTTCGACCCTGTCCTCCCCTCTTTCACCTCCATCATGTAGTTGAAGCTCACCACCTGCTCCATTGACCCCATCCCTAGCCGTCTCCTTATCTCCTTGCCCCTCTATTCACAGACTTCAGCAACCTCTCCTTGTCCACTGGCACAGTTCCCATCCCCTTAAACACACACACCCTTATCTCCATCCTCAAAAAAAAAACCTTCACTTGACCCCTGCTCTCCAACTACAGCCCCATCTCAATTTTCCTTTCCCAGGTCCTAAAATGAGTCATTGCTTCCCAGCTTTGCTTCATCCTCTCCTGCCAGACCCTATACGAACCCCTCCAATCAGGTTTCCGTGTTGCCCACACGACATTTGTGGCCTGGGAATCCCTCTATCTCCTGCCGTTTTCAACACATTCGACCATTCTATCTTTCTACACTACCCTCCCCTCTGTCCTTGCTTGGTCCTGTCTTCTCCTCCAGCCCTCGAAAATTCACATGCGCCGTTCCTTTAAGCTGTGTCCTTGGTCCTCAATATCTACACGCTCCCTCTTGGTGACGTCATCAGCAGACATAGGCTTAATTTCCACACGTATGCGAATTACACCAAATTATCCTCCACAACTCGGACTCCGGGAAAGGGTTCCAGAGGGTGGAGGCGGAGACGCTGAAAGCCCAACCGCCGATGGTGGAGCAATCCAGTGCCGGCCGAGCGGAGGGAACGGACAGGTTGATAAGGGTAAGCAGGTTGCAGAGGCAGAGAGGGGCAAATCCGTGGAGGGCTTTCAAGCAGAGGACGAGGATTTCAAACTCAATCCTCTGGGGGAAGGGGAATCATTGAAACTGGGGGAGGATGGTCAGCTTTCAGGAAATGGAAGTCAGCTAACAGGCATTGGGGGGAAGAGGCGAATGGATGTCTGTGCGGGGGGTGGTCCGTGAGGAGGGCAGGGATCTGTGTATGTGTGTGTGCGTGGTGGGGGGGGGCGACTGTGAGCATTTGGGGGGGGTGTGGGGCGAAGGCTGTATGGGAGCCTCCTGCCCCGGTCGCAGCAATGCTGTGTTTTGTGCTGTGGGCTGGGCTGCGGGCTGTGCTGTGGGCTGGGCTGCGGGCTGTGCTGTGGGCTGGGCTGCGGGCTGTGCTGTGGGCTGGGCTGCGGGCTGTGCTGCGGGTTGTGCTGTGGGCTGGGCTGCGGGTTGTGCTGTGGGCTGGGCTGCGGGTTGTGCCGTGGGCTGGGCTGCGGGTTGTGCTGTGGGCTGTGCTGTGGGTTGTGCTGTGGGCTGGGCTGCGGGTTGTGCTGTGGGCTGGGCTGCGGGCTGTGCTGTGGGCTGGGCTGCGGGTTGTGCTGTGGGCTGGGCTGCGGGCTGTGCTGTGGGCTGGGCTGCGGGTTGTGCTGTGGGCTGGGCTGCGGGCTGTGCTGTGGGCTGGGCTGTGTGTTGGCTTGTGGGCTGGGCTGCGGGCTGTGCTGTGAGATGGTCTGTATTTTGTAATGTGAGCTGGGCTGTGTGTTGTGATGTGAGCTGTGTTGTGCTGTGGGATGGGCTGTGTTTTGCGCTGTGGAATGGGCTGTGTGTTGTGCTGTGGGACGGGCTTTGTGCTGTGGGTTAGACGGTGGGCTGGGCTGTGTTTTGTGTTATTAGCTCAACTGTGTTTTGTTTTGTGGGCTGTGTTTTGTGTTGTGGGCTGTGTGTTGTTCTGTGTTTTGTGCTGTGGCTGTTCCCCCCCCCCCCCCCCCACCCCAACCCCTGCTGCCCTCGGTGCTGGGGGTTCTCCCCACTCTGCTGCCCTCAGCACTGGGGGTTCTCCCCCCCTCTGCTGCCCTCAGCACTGGGGGTTCTCCCCTCCTCTGCTGCCCTCAGCACTGGGGCTTCTCCCCCCTCTGCTGCCCTCGGTGCTGTGGGGGGGGTTCTCAAAGATCTTCCCTCCTCCTTCCCCAAGCGCTGCTCTCCTCTCCACTGCCCTAGTTTCACCTTCCCCGCTCTCCTTCACGGCTTTCTTGCTTACCGCTGGCGCCTTTGGGTCCAGCCTGCTCCGCCTCACGGTTTAACTTAAAAAAGTTTTAAAACCCGGTTTTCACTAAAGAGGGAAAACCCAAGCTTTGGCCCATCCTTGCTCTTGTCTCCTCTCACCCCCAGCCTGGTATAAGACCCCTTTCTCTCTATATTTTTCCCCTTACCTCAAAAAATCTTTTATTTAGTCTCCAGTTACACAATACAACAATCGCATCTAATGAAACTCCTGTCGTCTCAGAAACCTCCTCGTTTACTGAAGCCGTAACATGGGGACGGAGGTGGTCGGGTCGCTGGGAGAGTTTGTCACGAAGAGCGAGATAAATGACGAGGACAATAATAATTCTTTGCATTTGATGTAGAGCCTCCTCAGGCAATTTTCCCCTTAGCAAACAGGAGTCAGTGACCAACTTTATCTGGGGATCGTTGGCCGTCGGGACACAAGCTCTTTTCAAATAGGGTCGCGGGATCTTTAATGTCCACCTGAACAGGCAGACGGGGCCGGTGAGGATGTGATCTCCTGGCCCGGTAGGTGCGGAGGAGGATATTGAGTCACCTACACATGGACATTCCAGAGATAGATTGTTGGAATGGAACGCGCTCCCTCTCCCTGGAGGGACATCCTGTTTACCTGCTAACCGGGGGCAGTGGGATTGATTTCGAAACTCTTTTAAAAAAGCCGACACAGACATGATGGGCCGTATGGCCTCCTTCTGCGCTGTATAATTCTATGTTTCTATGATTCTACCTAATTCCGGAAAGTATTTAGCGCAGGTTGGAAGAGCCAAGGCTTGGGGACCCAGAGTGTGTTTTGGGGTAACTGCTGGAGTCTAACCAACTAAAACTGCACAGGTTTTCATTGATATTGCTGTCCGGTAAGCTTTCCCACTTCCCCACCATTAGGGGCTTTGGCTTGCGGAGTTAACAGGAACTGAGTGGAATGACTCCCTGCCCGCGGTGACTGGTCTGCCTTTCCAAGTCCTGCCGATGAGCCAGGCTGGGCTGTGCTGTGCTGTCAACAGCAGGTCCCTGGAATACTGCAGACCCACCTGGCTCAGGAACCGGACTAGACATCATCACAGGGCTGGCTCGATTCTGACATTCCTCTGCCAGGTATGTCACCTCGGAGCCAGTTCAGCTCCATCTTAAATAGTCCAGAGGCTGGGAGAGGATGGAATTTGGTTGTTGTAATGGTTACAGTCTAACCCCCCCCCCTCCCGCCCCCCCAGCCCCTCCATCCCTCCCCTCTCCCTCACCCTCCGCCCTCTGCCCCCTCACCCTCCGCTCTCTGCCCCCGCTCGTTCCCCCCACCCCGCCATGTTGCCATGATTTTAAGATTTTAAGGATGAATTATCTTGCTTAAAATCCTCGTCCTCACTTTTAAACGCTTCACAGTCTTGTGCCTCCCGACCTCTGCCACCTATTAACACCTATTAACACCTTACCAACGCTGTACCAACTCTGATTGGGAGGCACTGCTCCACTCCGCCTCTCTGCCTCCACCCTCTGGAACTCCTTCTCAGAGTACCCATGGCCTCAGTCCCTCTCTCCCTTGCCTCCTTCAAGGCCCACCTCAACACTTTCCTTTTCAACTGTGCCTTCGGCCACCCTCCTACCCTCCTGACTCCAGGCCCCAGCTCGTGTGTCAACCCTTCACTGTCCAGCGCATTGCGATGTCCTCCCGATGTGGAAGGGCGCTGTATAAGTGTAACTTGTTGTTGTTTTTAAAACGTACGCACACCCCTGTATATAAGTATATTAAAAAGAAAGCGTACATTTATTATTAAGAGACAACTTCTGCTCACAACAGGGACCCCGGAGTTGAGGTCTCTCACAGTCGCTTGGGTGCTTCAGAAAACTGATGGCGACAAGAGATCTGTCCGCTACCCGCCAGGCTCTGTAATCACTGCTCTCTCTTCCTCTCTTCCTGACTTTGTACTGAAGCTAAAGGATGGAGTCTGACTCCTCAGCCCCACACCCTCCGCACTACACTACAGCTCCGCCGAAGCTCTGTGGCTCCGAACACCTTCACTAAAACGATCATCCCCTCAACTCACTGAGTTTCTTGGTTGTTTTATTTTTGCAAGTGGGGAGGTTTGGCCTTGACAGTGTGCAAGCCTCAGGGAGACCATGTGCAGACACTGGAGGGGGAGAACATGTATAAACCTTGCGACTGGGTACAAATCCTTTCATAACGTTTAAATCCCTCGTTTCTCTGCCACTCAGAGCTCACAGGGGCCACGGGGCTGACACAGGGCCACAGAGAGAGCGCCACATTGTCAAGAGTTCCTGCCCTGTGGATGAGATGATAAACTGAGTCCTTGTTCAGGAGGACATTAAAGATCGCACAGTGCTACTGGAAAAGAGAAGGGAGAAGGGCAACAGGGTCTCCCAGATAAAGTCACTTCACGGCTGTGGGATGTTGTTGTGTGCAAATAGGCTCCAGTGTTGACCTACAAAAGGCACTGTACCAAATCCAATGCTCAAACAGAGAAGAAAGGGCGACAGACAGCGTGAAGCTCGCTCAGACTGAGTTCACTTGATCACCAGGAGATGTCAGTGCAGTCCAGCCTCGTCTCCCACCCAGTTCCTGATGACGTTCACGTCTTCTCAGTCAGGCAGTGTTGTGCGAGCTGAACCTCGCTGCTCTGTTCTGACTGGGGGTCAGGAGCTTCCCAGCTGTTTCCAGACACCCGTAACAACCTGGTTCATGCTGCACAACTGGGATGCTCCAATTAATCCCTGTGTCAGTGTTCCTTGTGGGGTTACAGACACGCGCAGCCAAGTCCCGGTCCCTCACCTCGAGTAGAGTTCTGTAGCTCAGTGGGTAAATGGTTACGGTTGGTGAGCGGTGGAGTGAGGGGTGGGGAGGGGGGGAAATTGTCAACCAGGACACCGGGAGAGAAACTCCTTTCTCGAACAGCGAGGCGGGATCTTTAACATGCTTTCCCCTCGGAAAACCCCTCGGGCTCCAAGACGTGACATGCCGAAGTGCACGTTGTTGTCGGTCACGGATGTTTCGCACCCGTCAGACGGAAAAAGTCAGCTCGTGAGTTTTTCGGTTTCGTTTTATTACAAAAAAAAACAAATAGCTACAAGCCGTTGTGAATTTCTTTTTCACCGTTAACATTTCCCCGAGGTCGGTCTGTACAAAAAAACCCAGCAATGTACACCAAGAATAAATTAATTCATCAAGAATAAAACTCAATAAAACGCTTTTTTTTCCAAGAAAGATTTGCACACGTGACATGACGCAACAGGAGAAATAGTTTCTTTTATATATTTATTATATATTATATATAGTTTATGCCGTTGGTTTAAGGTTCTTTTTTATACAGTTTTACTTTGGGCTTCAAACCTATGATCGGATACTTTTCTCTCAGTTTCATCCCGTTATTTTCTGTACAAATGAAAACAGTTTGTAAAGGGGGTGGGGGGGAGGTCCGTGAGACGGGGTGGTGGTGGGGGGGGGGTTCTTGGGGAGATGGGGGTCTGGGGGAGGGGGGATCTGGGGAGGGAGGTCGGGGGAGGGGGGGTTCTAGGAGAGAGAAGGTTGGGGGGTTCTGGGGGAGGGAGGTGTCTGGGGAGAAGGGTGTCTGGGAAGGTAGGGCCTGGGGAGGTGGGGCTCGGGGGGAAGGCCGGGGGTCTGGAAGGTGGGGGGGGGGTGGGGGGTTGGGGGTGCAGGGGAAGTCGCTTCCAGATTAAGACTGAATTTAAGAATTTTCCACAACTCCACATGTGTGTTTTGAATATTTCAAATATAACTGCACCTTTCACCTAAAATAACGCCCCCTCTCTCCCACCACCGACACCAAAGCCATTTACAAAATATAATTCAAACGCCAGCGAATGTTTATATTTCTGTATATATTTATATCTTTTTTTTGATCAGCTGGGTGTCTGACACACGCACAGAAACCCATCACCATGGTCAACCTTTGACCGACATACGTGGAAAGCCATCGCTATGATCAGCCGACGACTGACCCACGGAAACCAGCACTGTGGTTAACAGTTTCCAAACCAGATTTATTCCACGTGTGTGTGTGTGTGTGTGTGTCACCGACACGCAGAAATCTCCCCGTGTCTGGAACGGAATCCGCGCTATCTCTCTCTCTCTCTCCCCAGAGGGCAACACCCTGTTGACCTAATCCCAGAGAGTATTAGCCACAGGTTGGCAAGACCCAAGGCTTGGGTTGCCCCAGAGTGTGCGTTGTGGTAACTCCTGGAGTCCTAACCAGCTAAACCGGCATTGCTTGCCATTAAGAGCACTGTCTGGCAAACTTTCTCACTGCTTGTCCAGTGAAGACCATCATTTATATCATACAATGAATGGCCTCCAGGTTAAAGACTGAAATTTAAGTTGCTTCGAACAGAGTTCCTTCCCCCGAGTCCCTCATTCCCTTCCCCCACCCCTCCACCCCCTTTGGGGTAAAGTTATTAGGTAGGCGTAATGTGGGATTATATATAATGCTTATGCCGGACATCGCCGCTTGGAACCCCCCCCCCATTAAAATCTTAATTTGGAATTCACTTGAGTTCTAAAAAAAAGAGTGAGGGAATGAAGGTGGGAACGAAGGAGGTGAAGGGAAGAGCTCTCTCTCTCTCTCTCTCTCGGTCTCTCAGATTCAGACGTCCCACAGGTCAGGCTCCCGCCACACGTGATGGTGAGAGGTCTGTGCAAAAGCGAGGCTGTGCCGACGTCCGTGTCTTTCCCCGTGCGGTGGTCGTGCACTGTGTGTGTGGTGGTGGGGAGGGAGGGGTAGGGCTGTGTGAGGGGGTGGTTGGGGCTGAGTGGGGGGGGGGGGGGGGGGGGGGGGGCGGGGGGGGGGGGGGGGCGGCGGTAGGGCTGAGTGAGGGGAGGTGGGGGGTTCTTCAGGTGCTGTAAAAGCTGAAGTAGCCCCTCTCGCCCCCACTGTCCTTGTCAAACTTGCTGCTGTGCTGGTGGGGGGGCGAGTTTTCTGCGCTGGAGGTGAACGGCGAGAGCTTGCGGCGTTTGCATTCGGCGTCGTACAGCGCCGGGTCGGGCGAGGCTGCGGGCTGCCCCACGGGCGGCTTGAGCCAGGAGTCGTCGCCGTCCTTGGCCTTGTCGTGTTGTCCGGCCGGTCCAGGCTGGGCCTCGCTGAGCGGCCGGTACCAGGCCAGGGTGGTGGCAGGCTTGGCGTGCGTGTACTGCGAGGCCGTGCGAGAGCCCCAGGCCTGGGCGGGGCTGAAGCCGTGTTCCTGGTAGTAGCCCAGAGGGTGTGGGCCGGCCGGCAGCGGGAAGCCACGGCTGTACGTCATGAAGCTGTTCCCGGAGTAGTCGGCCTCGTAAGAGCCGAACTCCAGCCGGTTGTTGCCGGCCTGCTGTACCGGGGCCATGAACCAGCGATGGGGGCTGGCCAGGTCCTCGCGGTGCTTGGCGAGGTGCGTGACTGCGCGCTCCGCGCTGTAGCAGCCGCCCATGTACGGCTCCTGGAGGAAAGGCTGGAAGCGGGAGCCAGGGAGCAGCTGCTGGCAACTCGGCTGCTCGGGGGGCGAGGGCGTGAAGCGATCTCCTTCCGAACTGTTGTAGATACTGCGAGGGGGTGAGGAGAGGGAGAGAGGGTCAGCGACAGGCAGAGACAGCCCCCCCCCCCCCACACACACACCACTCCCTACTTCTAACCCCCCCCAATCACTCATTCACTTCATGAATCTTTATCGGACGTTGCTACGTGCAAATCGGCTGCTGCGTTTCGCCCACAATACAGTCACTGCACTTTAGAGAGACACACACACACAGAGACACACAGACACAGAGAGAGACACACACACAGAGAGAGACACACACACTCAGAGACAGAGAGAGACACAGACACAGAGAGAGACACTCACTCAGAGACACACAGAGAGAGACACTCACTCAGAGACACACAGAGAGAGACACACACTCAGAGACACAGAGAGAGATACACACACACAGACACACACAGAGAGATACACACACACAGACACACAGAGAGAGATACACACACACAGACACACAGAGAGATACACACACACAGAGACACAGAGAGAGAGACACAGAGAGAGAGACACACACACAGACACACACAGAGAGATACACACAGAGACAGAGAGAGATACACTCAGAGACACAGAGATACACACACTCACTGACACAGAGAGAGACACACACACTTGGAGAGATATACACACTCAGAGACACACAGAGAGATACACACACTCAGAGACACACAGAGAGAGACACAAACATTCCAGTTACCAGGCATTGGAGTTAACAGGGAACGCCAGTCTGAATGTATAATTCTGACTCGGTTGAGCCACCTTTGAGCAGTAATTCGTAACGACAGGGTTAGGAAAGAGCAGAGGCCACTTAGTACAAAAGCATTACTAAAATTCGCAAATACTACAAGGAATGATAACCGTCCCAAGAGACACACACACTCAGAGACACAGAGACACAGACACACACTCACATACACAGAGACACACACACTGAGAGACACATACACACACTCAGAGACACATACACACACTCACATACACAGAGACACACACACTCAGAGACACAGAGACACACACACACACACACACTCACATACACAGTGACACACAAACACACACTCACATACAGAGACACAAACACTCAGAGAGAGACACACACTCAGAGACACACACAGTCACATACACAGAGATACCCACACTCAGAGACACTCACAGCCACAGAGGGAGACACAGACACGCACACAGACACAGACGGAGAGACACACACACTAACAGACACAGAGGCGACACTTTCTCAGAGAGAGAGAGAGAGAGAGACACACACACCCACTCACAGACACAAAGAGACATACACACAGACATAGAGACACACAGAGACACTCGTAAACACACACACATAGAGAAGATTCATAAACACACAGACTCACATACAATCACAACAGTGGGGTCTCCGAGTGTAGACCATTTATGGTGTCCGGAGCCTCTCCATCCACAGTGACGTCAGGTAAACAGCGCGAGTGGATAATACCACACACAGAAACTACGTTTGCGGTGGGTTTGTAGCAGACGAGGGTCTTTGTTGCGGAAAAGGTGCGTCCACACGTTTCTATGACCCAGGTAATAATTTACGGGTTGGGTTATCCACACCCAAACGGATTATGACCGTAACAATAATAATCCTTGCATTTGATATTGCACTTTATCACGTCTCTTCACAGAATATATCATAAAGTGAAGTAACTGTACATTTTGTGGACAAAACGCGGCAGTCAATTGCGCACAGCAGCGTCCCACAATCCACAGTGTCCGCAGTCGTGGTTGGAGTGATCAGATTCTTCTTATTAATAAGAAACCGGATTAAAACCCAGATTGAAGAATTCTCCACAATCTCCCAGTCTGGACAATGTGTGAGTGGGTGTGTGAGTGTGAGTAGGTGTGTGAGAGTGTGTGTGTGGTGTGTGAGTGTGTGTGGTGTGAGTATGTCTGGTGTGAGTGTGTGTGTGTGTGTGGTGTGAGTGTGTGAGAGTGTGTTTGGTGTGAGAGTGTGTGGTATGGGGGTGTGTGGGTGTGAGTGTGGTGTGTGTGGGTGTGAGTGTGTGGTGTGAATGTGTGTGGTGTGAGGGTGTGTGTGGGTGTGTGCAGTGTGGGTGTGTGTCTGGTGAGCAGGATCACGGGTCACTCCGGACCTGCCGGTGTACTCACGAGTCAAAGTTGTCTCGGAATCCTTTGGCAAAGGGATTGTGATCAATCTTGAGCTGTGTGATCTGTGAGAGGAGAGTTACTTACAGTGACGCAGTCCCTTGTTCAGCCCAAGCCTTAATCCCCCACATTGTTCACACCCAGCACAGGCAACGCTGAGATTCCTAGTGTGCACAGCCCTCTCCACACCCTCTCCCCCCCCCGACCACCCACCACCCACCACCACGCACACACGCGCACACAGGATGGCTGAGACGTTAAATATGATCAGCAACACCTGGTCGGTACAAACAGGCGTCCGAGATGCCACAGACTACACACTGAGGAGCCAGGTGACCAGCACATTGAGCCCTGTGACTGACACGACTGACTGGCTTGACCATCCGGCAGACAAGAGAGGTCATGGGGCTGGAACAGCAAGTGCCCCCTCATATTCCCCACCCCACCGCCCCCATCCGAGCTGGGGTCTGGGGGGAGAAGGGAGGGGAGAGCAAGGGGGGTGACCAATGGCATGGTCGAAGAGGAGGGTTTTGAGGCGGGACAAGGCTAAGGAGGGGGTGAGGCGGAGTGATTGGGGGATGGAATTCCAGAGGTTGGGGGCAGAGTGGCTGAAGGCTCTCCCGCCAATGGTGGGGTGGGTGGGGCGGGGGATGTGGAGTAGCCAGAGCCGGCTGAGCGGAGGGAACGGGCGGGTTGATAAGGGGTTAGGAGTTCGCAGAGGTAGGGTGGGGCGAGGCCATGGAGAGCTTTGTATGTGAGGACCAGGATCTTGAACTGGATCCTCTGAAGGATAGGGAGTCAGTGGAGTCGGGCGCGAGTGGGGGAGATGGGGTCACGGAGTTTGGTGCAGGAGAGGACACGGGCTGCAGCGTTCTGGATCATCTGTGGAGGGAGGCGGAGGAACACTTATACACTTATACAATTTTCTTTGTGGAATATTTTTTCATGGGGTGTGGTGACTCGGGGGGGAGGTGGGGAGAACCAGGGATTGATTCAGTGCGGACTCAGTACCTGGGCTGGATTTGGGTGGACACTTGTAGCCCCAAAAGTGACTGTGGACAATGTAGTGGGAACAACTAAACTTGCAGGTACTCGAACGCCAGTCTAGATTACTGACGCCAAACCAACCCAACCCCCCCCACCCAAACCTAACCCTAAATCATTAAAACACCCCAAGACTGACCAATCTTAACCAAACAGTCCATAGCCCCATTATAACCTGTCTCAAACCTCCTAACCGTACAGTAACCAAGATTACAGACTGTAAAGCCAGACGCCCAGGTAAACATCAACCAAACCAAGAGAGACAACTGAATAATCCTCCAGGAAACCTCCAAAAAAGAAAACCCCCACATTCGGCTCCTCCAACTTAGGCCTGCTCCACAGCCCCCACCCCAGCACGTGTGAGGGGACAAGCTCTCCGCCACCCTTCCCCTGCTCTCCGGAACCCACTCCCTAAATCCCTCCGTTTCTCCCACTCCTACTCCTTTTCGTCAAAGCCCAACCTCTCTGACGGTGCCTTCCCTCTCCTACCCCTTCCCCACCACCTTGTCCAGTGCTATTCAATGCCAGTGACAGTCAGTGCTACTGCCAGTCAGTGCCAGTCGGTGCCAGTCAATGCCGCGCAGGCACTTACATCTGCATTCTGGTAGGCGGTGACAGCGATGAACTGAGTCTCGGGGAAGCTGAAGGCCTGAAGCTTGGGGGTGAGATAGGGGTCGTCAGAGCCGTCCTCCTTCACCGGCGCAATGTGCAGCCGTGGCTGGTACTTGTGCAGCGACTGGAGCACGATCATCTGTGCGGAGACAGGGGTCAGCGGGGGGGAAACATGGAGTCAGCGGGGGGAGACATGGGGTCAGCGGGGGGGAGACATGGGGTCAGTGGGGGGGAGACATGGGGGGCAGCACGGGTCGCGACAAGGGGTCATTGCAGGGGAGACAAGGGGGGCAGTGGAGGGGAGACAGAGGCCATTGGGGGCCTGACCCCAGCCCACTGCACACATATAGGAATCTCACACCAGGACACCCCACACTCCGCATTATGGGATTTTCCATCCCCCATACCCAATAGCCCCCCCATAACCCCATAATCTCCCCCCCACAACAACAAATTACATTTACATTTTTTTCCCAAATCCCTGAACCATGTCATGTTCCCCGCCTCATGTCCGCAATCCTCCCCGTACCTGAGTGACATTGTTGGACGCTCCCTTGTTATTCGTCAGTTTGAGTTTCCCGAACGAGATTTCCTGCCGCATCCAATGGGTTCCAGTGTTGGGCGAGTCTGGGTGCATGTACGTCCTGTTACCTGCAGAGGGCAGAGTGGGGTCGGGCAAGTCGACAACTTAGCTTATTATTATTATTATTATTATTATTATTATTATTATTATTATCGTAACTCACCCACAGTCACAACACTACACTGTAAAATCCTGAGAAGCGCTTTACGATGTCTTGACGACACGATATCGTGTGCAAGGATTGCGAGCGAGAGGAGGGACCCGGGTTTCCTTGCCTTATACGCCTCCGCTTACCCAGCAGTAAGTAGGAACCTGTTTGTTAGTCAATTAGTGGATCCCTTTCCGGGGATAATAATACCCCAATAAATCCAGTCACTCAATCCACGACGGTGGATTGGTTGCCGCGTTTCGCCCACAAAATACACAGTCAATTCACTTTACAACTTATTATGTGAAGGTCTTTGAGACGTCTCAACAACCTGATAAGGCGCTATATCAAATGCAAGGATTATTAGTTATTATTATGATTAAGATTATGCTGAAGTCTGGATTCTGCTCTTCCGGTAAATGTTATTCTTTACTTTCTTTAATCTCTGCCTTTCCCCACATTCTCGGTCTCTACTCTCCTTTACTCCTGAGTCCATTCTCGTACTCATGAAGGGTGTTCACACCTGAGGCTGGTGGTGGGGGTGTGGGGGGTTCATTGTTTGATCGTGAATAGACAAACATAATCAATCTACTGAGGTCTCACTCCCCCCCCAATCTACTGAGGTCTCACTCCCCCCCCACCCTACCATCAGGGTCAGCGCAGGGTTCGGAACTTTGCTTTGTCAAGTATCAAATGCAAGGATTATTATTATTATTATTGGTTGAACCGGGAGACGATTCCCCCACCCACCACCCCCACACCCACCACCCCCACACCCTCGCCCGCCCCCCCCCACACGCCCGCCCAGCCCAGTGGGCACCGAGGCCATTGAGCATTGAGAGGCGTTCTGAGAGCACTTGATATCTCAGAGCAGAGCGGACGGTGGCTGTGAGTGTTACAGCAGGTGGTAGCGTTACCAAACTGAGCCACTGGGGTGGTAGTGGGATGGGGGAGCAGCACATTAACACACTCCCAACACCTCCCCCCCGCCACCTGGCCAGGCTCCAGATGTGTGCTCAAAGTCAGGCAGCAACTCAGGTGCAATCAGGCCATTTCAGGACAGACACCGGGAAGTGTTTCTTTACTGAGAGGGTAAATAACAGTTGGAGCAAGGTTACCAGGAAGGTGGTGGAGGCTACAATCGGGTGTTGTAGTTTTCCTCATTGTGGGATGAGGGTTTGCCGTGGTTTCGGGACGGGCACTAACCTTGCATGCTGCCCTCCGCCTTGCCACACTGCACCCACTTGCCGCCCTGGTACCTCCAGTGATGCTGGTCAGCCAGGACCACGTCCACAAAGACATTGTAGTGAGCCGTGGGCTCCAGCCCCGTGATGTTAAAGCTCAGGAACGGGAACATCCGCCTGCGGAGAGAAGAGAAGGTCCCAGTCCAGCAACAACACGGACAACAATGACGGTAACAACAGCAACAAAACAGTGACACATCAACTCCAGCCAGACACTGCTAGTGGTTAGCACACTTGCCTCGCAAGCAAGAGGACCTGGGTTAGATTCTTGGGCAGGGCCAAACCTTAGCCAAGTTTCCTTACTCCCCACGCTTCTGTTTACAGTAAGTAGGATTTGCAGTAAGTAGGATTGGTGGATCAATTAATCGATTGGTGGATCGCTTTACGTGGACAATAATCACTCGAAACAAAAATAAAGAATCCACGACTGTTTGTGGGACACTGCTGTGCGCGATCGGCTGTCACGTTTCGGCCACAAACACGCAGACACTACACTTTACAACACGTTCTGTGAAGCGCATTGAAAGGTCACGACGACGTGATAAGGCACTTGATCAAATGCAAGGATCGTGATTATTCTATGTCACCCCTCGTGGCTGGGAGTGTGACCCATTGCCTTTCACATCACGAGGACGTCTCAACTCTCTCGTTTAAACCAATTTGAGAAAATGATTCCAACGGCTGCTCGCGGGATGTTAAGGCGCTCTGTACAAATCGACTACCTCGTTTGTCCCCAAAACACACGTCTCGATAATGTGAGAAACACAGTATCACACACACACAGTTTACTATAAGCCACAGACACAGGAATGTGATGCTCATGTTGGGGGAGGGGATGGGAGGTGGGAGACAGCGCTATGTGTTTCCCCTCTGATGATCGGGATGGCGATGGGGAAATCCTCTCAGGGATGATCGGCCCTGAGCGTAATCTCTGTCTCATTTCACACTGAACACAGTCATCACTTTACAGTGTAACTTTGAAGCGCCGAGCGACGTCTCGACAAAGTGGTAAGGGGCTGTATCAAACACAACGGTTATATTGTTGTTATCAATAATAATTAATTATTCTGTCTCAGGGTGATTACTTGACATAAGAACATAAGAATTAGGAGCAGGAGTAGGCCATTCAGCCCCTCTAGCCTGCCCCGCCATTCAATAAGATTATGGCTGATCTATTCTAACTCCACCTACCCGCCTTATCCCTTAATCCCTTTATTCACAAGAAATCTATCAATCTCAGTCTTGAATATGTTCTTCCTCAACTCAGTGCGAAAAGGCCTTACCCCTAATTTTAAGACTGTGGTTATAGTTTCTCCAACCAGGGGAAAAAGTCTCCCACTATCTATTCTGTCATGTCCCTTAATAATCTTGTAGGTTTCTATAAGATCGCCTCTCATTCTTCTATATTCTAGAGAATATAGGTCTAAATTGGTCAACCTATCCTCATAACTCATCCTCCTCATCCCAGGTACCAACCTAGTGAATCTACGTTGTACCCCCTCCAAGGCGAGTACAATCCTTTCTTAAATAAGGAGACCAAAACTGCACACAGTACTCTCGTTGCGGTCTCACCAGGGCTCTATACAGTTGCAGCAAGACTTCCCTACTCTTATATTCAACCCTTTTGTAACAAATGCCAACATACCGTTAGCCTTCCTAATTGCTTGCTGTACCTGCAAACTAACTTTTTGTGACTGGTGTACAAGGACACCCGAGTCCCTCTGAATCTAAAAGATTTGTTAAGCGTGACTTCCCTTTTGTAAAGCCATGTTGACTCTATCTAATCATATTGCGATCCTCTAAGTACCCCACTACGATATCCTTAATTAAGGAATCTAGAATTTTCCCTACCACCGATGTCAGACTAACTGGTCTATAGTTCCCCATCTTTTCTCCTTTTCTCTCCCACCCTCTTAAATAGTGGTGCGATCTTCCAATCAATGGGAACCGTTCCAGAATCCAAAGAATTTTGGAAGAACGGACACAAGGCCTCCACGATCTCATGAGCGACCTCTTTTAAAACTCTAGGCTGCAAACCATCAGGACCAGGGGACTTGTCACTTTTTAATGCCAACAATTTCCCGAGCACCAATTCTTTACTAATGTAAATTTCCCTAAGTTTCTCCCTACCATTAGCCCCTTGGTTCATCTCTATTTCTGGTAAACTTCTTGTGTCTTCTAACGTAAAGACAGAAGCAAAGTATTTATTTAGGTACTCTGCCATATCCTTATCCCCCGTTATAATTCCTCCTGTCTCTGCCTGTAATGGACCCACATTTACTTTTACTCGCCTATTCCTCTTAATATATTGATGAAAACGCTTACAATCTGTCTTAATGTTCCTAGCGAGCTTGCCCTCGTAATCCATTTTCTCCCTCTTAATGAGCTTTTTGGTTTTCCTTTGATGGTCCCAGTCCTCAGCTTTGCTACTCTTTTTGGCAGTTTTATAGTCCTTTTCTTTTAGTTTTCTACTTTCTCTAACTGCTCTAGTTAGTCACGGATAAACTGCTTTCCTCTGGTACTCTTATTCCTCAAGGAATGAGAATTTTACACTACATCTTTAAACATTTACCACTATTTACCATTGACATATCCATGCAGGATACACTGTAAAGCGTAGTGACTGTGCATTTTATGGGTGAAATGTGCCAGGCATTTAAAAAGCGAATAAACACATAGATGGGTTTCTTTAAGTTGAAGATTCAGACGAGCGCAAATCCTGGAGGTAAAGATTATTCTGTTCAAAAAAACAAGAGTGAATCAGCCGTGAAAGATAACGAACGGGAGAGGCGTGCACCGCGATCCACACGGCAAAGCCCTTGTCTCCTTTCCACCAGCAACCGTCCGTCCATCTCTGGCTTCACTGCTCGCCCAGACCCCTACCCAACCCTGCCACATGCGCCACATCAGTACAGAGAGCCGCTGTGTATGATCACATACTGTCAGGAGGGGAGAGGGAGAGCTGCAAGGGATGGAGGAGTGGGGAAAAGGATGTCAGAGAACGTTTAGACAGTGAGAACGTTTTTCAAGGACCCTCAAGTGACTTCAGGAAGCCAGAGACGGAGTTCGTGGTCATTTCTTTTTAAACTCTTTTCGCTGAAAGAGTATCTTTGCTGTTCACTTATCTTGTTTGTGTTAATCGCTTCCTTTGATGTGGGATTGATCGTTGGTGATAGGGATGATTGACGAGCTACCTTTCTACCTTCTCTCCCGCCGCTAACCTTCTGTGTGTCTGTCTCTCTCTCTCTCTTCATCTCTTTGTGGGTGTGCCTCTCTCTTTTAATTTTTGTGCATGTATCTCTCTCTCTCTCTGTGTGCCCGAGTGTATGAGTATTCTCTATGTGTCTGTCACTGTCTCTGTGTGGGTGTCTCTCTCTTTCTCTTTCTGTATGTGTCTGTCTCTCTCTCTCTGTGTGTCTCTCTCTCTCTGTATGCATCTGTCTGCGTCTCTCTCTGTCTATCTCTGCCTGCCTGCCTCTCTCTCTCTCGCCGCATTATTCGGTGATACAACCCTGGACAATAATAATAACAATAATAGCATCTTATCATGTCGTTGAGATGTCTCAAAGCGCTTCACAGAATAATAATCCTTGCATTTGATATAGCGCTTTTCACGTCGGGAGGACGTCCCAAAGCGCTTTACAGAACGCACTGTAAAGTGAATTGACTGTATATTTGTGGGCGAACGCGGCAGCCAATTGCGCACAGCAATGTCCCACAAACAGTTTGTGGATTGAGTGACCAAATTATTTATTTATTTATTTATTTATTCATTTGGAGGAATTATTATGATTCACCAATCCACTAGCAACTAGGTTCCTCATTACTGCTTGGTATACAGAGGCACGTGGAGTAAGGAAACTTGTCTACAGTTTCATCTCGCCTGGGAATCGAACCTCTCAACTGTGAGATCACGGGTGGCGGTGGAGAGGGCTGACACCCCGGCTAAGCTTTCTGTTATTCCTATAGAATCCCACAGCACAGGAGGAGGCCATTCGGCCCATCGTGCCTGTGACGGCGTGTTGAAAGAGCTGCTAACTAGTTCCACTCCCCGCTCTTACCCCATAGCCCTACAATTTTTTCTTTTCAATTACCTATCGAATTCCCTTTTGAAAGTTACAATCGAATCTGCTTCCACCACTCTTTCAGGTAGTGCATTCCAGACCATAACTACTCACCGCTTAATAAAAAAAATTCTCTTAGTCTCTCCTCTGGTTCTTTTGCCAGTTATCTTAAATCTGTGTTCTTTGGTTACTAACCCATCCGCCAGAGGAAACAGTTTCTCCCTATCTACGCTATCAAAGCCCTTCATAATTTTGAACAACGATTAAATCTGCCCTCAACCTTCTCTGCTCTAAGGAGAATAATCCCAGATTCTCTAATCTCTCCACATAATTGTAGTCCCTCATCCTTGGTACCGTTCTCGTAAATACAGCAACTGTCTGACCCCCACCCGACTTCTTTAGTGACCACCTCCCCACCCTGGCTCAGTGACCACCTGCCTCCCCACCCCCACCACAGGCTCAGTGCCAATCAGGTCCTTGGGTGGCTTCCCCCGAAACTCTGAGGCTGACTCAGGAACAGACAAGATGTGAGTCAGCATATTAATAGAGAGAGAGAGGGAAGGAGGGAGGATGAGAGCACGAGGAAGAATGAGCGAGCAAGAGTGAGTGAGTGAGTGAGTGAGTGAGTGAGCACGAACGAGAGTGAGTGAGTGATTGAGCAAGCGAGCGAGATGCAAAAAAAATCAACGGTGATGGACACGAGATAGAGGAGAGAGTGAGTCACAGGGGCCTATCGTGCTGACTCCGATGGTCTCACTTAAGAATTTGTCTAATTGTAGCTGCTCTGACCCACTGAGCTGGTGGATTGAGTCCGGGGGGGGGGGGGGGGGGGGTGGGAGGGGAGTCGTGGGGTGGAGGTGCTACTGGGGGTCAGGCTGAGCTTCCAGTGGCCACAAGTTTCTGGGTAAGAAAACAGTAAAGAGCTGATAATTAACAACAATCTGGTCCCCAAATTCAATTCAAATTCTCAACACTGAGGTCGGTAGATTTTGTTAGGCCAGGGTATCAAAGCACGGAGCAAACGTGGGTAAATGGAGTCGAGGTGCAAATCAG